ACTTCTTGAGGGTCTAATGCCGCTTCAACTGCCTGGAAGAGCCCTCGCATGAAGGAGAAGGTTTCTTCACAGCCACCAGTGCCGACCGTGCCTTCTGCCTGGCCAAGTGCTGTGCTAGAATCTGATCTGAAACATGTAGCAATGCTCCAGTTTCTGCTCAAACGCCACAGCGCTGCCCATGCCAGCCCTTCTTTCTCTGCCACATCCGCACTGAGTCTCGTTGCCCCAATATGCATCTTGCTGGTGGTGTCATAATGCACCGCCTGGGCTGTCCATCCGAGGAATTTCAACCCTGGTGGGTCATATCTTTCTCCAACCACAACATAAGCCCATGTGTCGCCTCGTCCTTCTTCTTCTGCTCGAAGAGGAGGAATGTGTTTCAGCGCCCCCAGAGAAGACCCATCTGCATAGATGATGATTCGATCCAGGGCTTCCTCAGGAATCTCAGCGTCGCATGAGGCCAAAGCATGCTGAATTTCTTCCGGCAGGTCAAGGCCTTCAAAGGCAGGTTGTAGGACTCCTTCATGAGACGCAAAGAGAGCTTGAATGTCCTGGTGTGTGATGCCCAAATCAATGACCTGATCACTACTGTGCTCAGCCGGGCCTTCATAAAAGGATTGTTGTCCTTTGGGTCCATGTTGTAGTGGGGGCCATTCTGCTTGTGCTTTCTGTTTCCTCTGTGGATGATGCATCGCAACCTGTTGGTTCTTGAAGGAAACTTTGTGGACATTCTCTTTGACCTTGTCGATGTTGTAGATGACCGCCCTGCCGTATCCAAGAGCAAGGAGATGTTGCATGAGTCCATGTTCTGTCAGAGTGGTAGGACTCGTGTGCAGAAAAACAGCCTCTTCGTCAATGACATCCAAATTGACTATGACATAGTGCTGCTGTCCTGGATCTCCCACTCCTACAGGCTGAAGACAAACAACTGCATCGCGTTCTTTGCAAATGACGACCTCACAAGTATTCCCCCAGAGAAGCAGTTCATCTTGTACTTCTCGATCTGTCGCATCGCAAGGCACTTCAATAAATTGAGGATGTGGTTCAGGTCCAAGGGCCCAAACTACACGCAAGGCAGTGCTTCCAACAAGTGGTGCATGTCCCGGCTCCTCAATGAGATTGTCAAGATCAATTCGCTTCCTAGTACTGCCAGTCTGCAACAGGGTCAACGCCGTTGAGCTGCTCGCTGTGCTTGCTGCAGCTGCCCTGGTGACTATGTCCCTGAGATGGTTGAGAATGACCAGAAAGCTGTCTCCATGCCGTGCTCTGAAAACTGTTTCATGATCAAAAACAAAATCTCCATGCCAAACCATGCAGTCAATGAGGCTCTCAACAAGACGTGCATCCAAAATGTTCATGATCTCCAAGAAGAAGACTTTCCGCAAAGAGTGAGGGCTGGCCAGAACAAATGAATTCAAGGGCGCCGATTCACTCGCCGTGTCGATGGCTGTAACATGGATGCTTCTCCATTCAGCCCTTGGATTTTGTACCACAATGATGTGGGGAACCGCATCGGCATCTTCCCAACTTCTTCTTCTCGGTGAAGGTGTCACGAGGTATAGATCAATAACTTGGTCAGGGTCAATTCGATCATCCCATCTTTCCGCGATACTATCAGGCCATCGCCATGGATCTCCTGTGAGTCTGACGGCCCTGTCCTCATCACATCTGGGATGCCGATGATGATCAGTGTACCAAGTATGAACATAAAGCACATTCCCTTCTTCTTCTTGTTCAATTGCTGCATAAGTTCTCCAAAGCGGAAGTAGATCTTGGAGAAAGTTGGTGATGTCGCCAAAATGCAGCTCCGGTCTTCCTTCTCCTGGAGCTGTCTCATCAGTCACTTGCAGAAACTCTGGCTCTCGCAAGTCTTCATCTCCAACTTTGCATTCATATGGCCTGCATGTGCCTGCTCGCTTGAGAAAAGGAGGCCACCTGTCGAAGGCAGGTATAGACCACCCCTCAAGCTGCATGAGACTCATGGCGTCCCTGTCATAGTCAAGATCAGCCGCCCTTGGGATGTAATTGAAATTGTCAATGACTGGCATGTCTGCAACCGGCAAGCCCTCAGGATGTGCTTCTAACACTGCTGGCACATTCGATGGCATATAGCCCCTGCGTAGGCATTGTGCAACTTCGCGGGTGTAGTGTGGTCTAAGCTGACCTCTTCCCGGTGGTACGGCGATCTTGATGTAGTCACCGTGCAACAAGTTCATCAATGCTTTGGTCTGTCTATGCACCGGATCTCCGTTGTGCCAGACAAGGCAAGCATTTCTCACATAGCGACAATGCGCTTCAAGCCCCAGCATGGCCAACAGTGCCTTCCTGGAAATTGTCAGTGGAAAAAGCTTGACCCTTCTCACAGTCTCATGTGCCATGGAAGACATGGCATTGTGGAACTCCACGTCAATCAGCACAAGCTGGAAAGTTGATCCTTCTTGTACATCGCTTGGGAATTGCGCGATGAAAGGCTGTATTCTCGCCGCCAGAAGGTCTGCTGGAACTGTACCAACCGCATGAACTGTGGTAAGATCATGAACGCTGATGTCAAACTGCCTCGCAATGTCCTTGTGCATCTTTTCATATGTGCTCCATCGCGGCCTGCAGTTCATCGGGTCCCATTCAAGAGAATACACGATGACGGGCCGACGAGGTTCTTCACTGTCAGATTCATTGGACGTAGAGGATGCATCATCTTCTACCTCTATCTCAATGACTTGATCATCAATGTCATGTTGGTGCGCGGCAGCTGGGTTGTCAGCCACTGCTGCTGCCTCACGATTCCGGAATGGTTGAGGGTCTCCACGTGCAACTTGTTGCGTAGTCGCCATCCATGAAGACTCATCATCCTCTTCTTCTCTGCTGTGCTGTCTCCTCTCGTCAGAAGTCAATAAACCCACATAGACCTCATCCGTGTCGAGAAACCGCACTTGTCGTCCTGCCATGTTGCTTCTCTTCGGTCGCAATGACAATGACAATGTTGAAGATGTCCTCCTACTGGAGCAAATAGTCCCAACTTCCCAAGCCAGGTCAAGTCCAGCAATTGAGGCTGCCCAAACCGTTTGGAAGTCAGGGTCATAGGTGAAACTGTGGCTCCAGTTCAAAAGAACCGCTTCCGAGCCTTCAATCTGCCTAGGGCAAGTCTCCCTTTGGTCTACTTGCCCGGCTTCGCAAAAGGTTCCAGCGCAGGTGAAGTAAAGCCACCAGAGGCCGCTGGAACTTCTCTGGAATCTCCGCCAGATGCCTCCTCCAGTCTCGGCCTTTTTGACTTGCTTTCTCCTGCTTCGATCACCGCCTCGTCTGCTTTCTGTCTCATCTCTTGCAGATGCGTGACCATGCTGGTAATGCTTGCTTGTATATTCTCCGCAGTGTCGATCTTGTCCGTCATCTCGTCGTCGGAAATCTCCACATGCGCCTCCTCGTCCAGATCCTCCAAGGCCTGTTTCTTGGCATCTACATCCTCCTTGGTGGCCTGGAGCTTCTCTTGTGCTGTTTTGACCCCCTCCGCTAAAGCCGCATCGTCTTTGCCAAACTGCTCTGCAAATTCCGTCCACCGCTTCAAAGAATCCGCAATGTAGCTCCTCCAGCTGCTGTGAAGGTTGGCTCTCGCAGACTGTGCGTCTCGGAGCTTTTTGCGCGCCTTGTCCATCTTGTCCACCGCCACCTTCAGGCTCTTGGATGTCGGAACAGGCGTGGAATTCTCTGCAACGATGTGTTGAACTCGAGCTGGCACTGGAGTGTTGGCTTCCTTGAGTGCCGTGGCTAGCAAGGTCAAATTCTCCGAGGCCTCTTGTTGATCGTCCCCTCCCGCTGAATGAAGGGCTGCATCTCCTCTGTATTGTGAGTGCCACGGAGGTTCGGGGGCTGGCGCAGACATCTGACCTCCTCCATGCTTCTGCTTGGACCCCTTGGGAGTCTTCTTCCGAGGTGTGTTGCCTCTGCGGCTTCCTCTCGGTGTCTGACTGTCTTCCTGTCCATACTGCCAATCTGCGTCGCCCCAGTGCGCATTCGAGCTCCATCCTGTATAGTTCCAGGACGTCCTCTGTGATGTCCTTCTTGGGCTCTTGTCTGTCATCTTTTGCGGCGTGTACGTCACGTCGTTGCCATGCGTCCACTTGATGCCGCAGCGAGCACAACGTTGTGTGTTCGCCTTGTTTGTCCTCCAGCACGCTGTGCATCTCCAGTCCACGGCTGAATATGCCATCTCTGCCTTGATCAAGGCAAGGAAATTCTCGTCTCGCGAGTGGTGCTTGGACAGAATCCCAAACACTCTCCTCAACTCTGACGGTGGGAGAGTCCTGGAACCTCTGCGATGCAGATGCCAAAGCTCCCGTGCCTTGGCCCTTTTGCGTCGAAGTCTTCGTCTGGATGAAGTCGTACTTCTTGGTGATCAGAAAGAACGCAAAGAGCAACTTAATGCCACCAATCATAAACCACCCAGCCCGTCAAGATGTCCTGCACCTTGTTGAAGATCTCGTTCGCGATGCCCGCCCAGCCGTAGAGGAACTCCAGGTGGTAGAGCAATGCCGTCACAAAGGCACCACGAATGGGCCCGCAGAACCGCCGGCGATGGTTCCGCTCAGGCGAAAGAACAAACGGGTCGTGGGGAACCCTAACCTTAAGCCTTATCTATACTATATATATATGTATGTGTATATTATATATATATACATATCCGAAATGATCTGTCCCTAAAATGGATCAAAAAATGATCATATCCATTACTCTCTGGTAATTTAACATAGCTATTGAAAATGGCCATTTATAGTTGATTTACCTATTCAAAATGGTGATTTTCCATAGTTATGTTAGTTTACCAGAGGGTAATATCCTAGTAAATCCATTCAGATCCTATTAATTCCTATTAAGTCACCATAAAATCCCATTAAAACCCATTAAGTCACCATAAAATTTCCATAGCTATGTTAAGTCACCAGAGAGTAATATCCTGTAATCTCCTATGTATACCCATGAATTGAAGCCACATCCCATCCCCGCGCCTTGGCCCATCGCGCTTCACTTTCCCTGGCGGCGGCCAATTGCTCCCCCAAATCCGCGGACGCGGACACGGTGGACGCCGCGGACGCCTTAGGGCTGGGCACGGCTTTTTGTGGAAACTGTTGGACTAATAATTTGACAAAATTAGGCTCAGCTCAGATTTTGTGTGGATATGTATTTATATATTATATTATATTATATATTATATATTATATTATATGATATTATATATTATATTATATTATATTATATATTATATATTATATATTATATTATATTATATTATATATTATATTATATTATATTATATTATATATGTTATATATAATTTAATATATTATATATATATATGATATATCTTTGGTTAGATGAGGTTCTAGACGTAGCCGGTGAATGCTTATTGTTTCTTGCTTGGGCAACGGTGGTACCGCCCTTTCATTGACCATATTCCCTTGGTTGTTGCTTGTAACAGATAAATCTTTCGGATCACCACAAGGCCAAGAGTACTCAATCTCATTGACAACCCCGCTCAGTCAAGTCCAACAGGTGGCCCCATAGCATATCTACGGTATCTCTGTATGTGTTCATACATGTGTATCATGTGTATATATATATTATGTATGTTCATAACATATATACACAACATATATATACCCAACACATATACCATCTGGTTGTTTAACATAGCCATGGAAAAATCACCATTGTTAAGAACGGTAAACCATCTATTTCTATGGGCCATTTTCCATGGCTATGTTAAATAACCAGAGGGTATATATATATGTGTGTGTGTGATGGGTCTATCTAGAAACAGCTCATAACTCGATATAGGGTAATGCCTCGCCTTGGTCGCCAGAGCCCCCGAGGCCCAGTGCACATGTTCCAAGATGTCCTGTGGCGTCACTTGTGGGTGATCCCTCCACTGTCGCTTGGGTACACCCCCGCCTGGTGTTGTCAATGGGATTTTATGGTGACTTAATGGGATTTTATGGGATTTTATGGTAACTTAATAGGAATTAATAGGATCTGAATGGATTTACTAGGAGATACCCTCTGGTAAACGTTTACATAACTATGGAAAATCACCATTTTCAATGGGAAAACTCACTATAAATGGGCCATGTTCAATAGCTATGTTAAATTGCCAGAGGGTATACTTTTCGAAATAGTGGAAAAAAGGTAGAGGGGCTGTCATCAGTAACAGAAGGTAAAGGAAGAGCCGGGGCTGCCATGAAACAAAAGTGCCTGGAGCACTCTCAGCACTCTTTATACATGTACCCAGCAAAAGAATCCAACGAGGGACCGCCTACTGCCAACACCACTCAGGAATCTGATGCTATCTGTCGTGATGATTGGTTAATTGAAGATCATCATCCCAAAAAGATGGAAACAACACTGGAAAACTCTATTTGAAACCACCAACCACTCAAGTAGTTAATCATTTTTGCGGTTGTTTGGTCATCCCCCAAGTTCAGACAAACCCGTATATAAACCTCATGACTCAGAAGCCTCATAAACTATGGGACCCTATGGGATAAAACTGAGTATAAAATCCCCCATGTCTGAACAATTACATAACCATCGAAACATACCGAAAGCCTTTCACATTCTAAGCCCATAACATGATAGTAAGTATCATCACGCACAAGACCATATAGTTATACAATGTAGTCTGATTCTATATTTATCACTTATCACCCAATGTTACATGTTCCTGAAATCACAAATGTCGTTCGGCAGACCACCACTATTGTTAAACTACCATGTTTCACAAACATAAGATGCTTCAACCACAATTCTTCATAGTAAAACACCCATTACCTTGTAAAACTACCATTCTTCTTGGTTCTCGATGGTCAAATCCAATTTCTGCTGGTTACAACCTCCACGTTCCTCGGTTTAACCACCATGTTTGTTGATTTTTTCACCATCACCACAGCACCACGCCTCCACCCGCGTGTAGGGCGCCATGCGTTGCTTCAACGCCAGCTGGCGGCCCGAGAAACATCGCAGCACCGAAGGCCTGGGAGCTGCGCAGCGGTGCGCCGCTGCGCCATGGGATTTTCATAGGAAACATATGGAAAATGGATGGTCCCATGGATTCAATGGTCATTCCAGGATCCTAAAATAGAGGTACGTTAGTACCATATTTTTCGCCATATTTTGGGGGTATATCCCCTGAAATTTAGGCCTTACATAGGGTTGATATTGATTCCATGGATTGGTTTAAGGGAAAATGTTAACCGGAAAGCCCCATATTTCATGGGAAAATCTATGGTTTCCGGTTAAGATTTTCCTTAAACCAATCCATTGACCATGGATATATATTGTAGACCAACCATGAACATCTATAGATTTTAGGGAATATGAACATAGTTGTAAAGGTTATATCCCAACTTATAGAGGTAATATAATGATTCACCCAACTCAACAGGAAACCGAAAAAGGGTGGTGTCTTAAAAAGTAGATGGGGATGGGTCAAATTGTAAGCCTCAGAAGGGATCACAAATGGCTTAGTGTATGTTTAGTATTCACCATCTAATTATTGCGGTATCCAATTTTTACCTATACCCAGATAGGTTTCTTAAACAGATATGGTATAGTCTGTATCTAATGATAATTTATAGTAGATAGATATCATATGGAAAAATGCTGTGCATCACACGAACTCTAAGTGGCTGATAACCCTAGAAAAAATGCCAGCTATATATGGAAATATCATCAGTTTTTGTCGACTATATAACGCCCCGGAAGTAGGAAACATCATATGGCAAAATGATGATAAACCAGAGGATTTATATAGAATGCCCCGTCTGGCATCATCCCACCATAACTGGTTGGTGGTTGGCCTAGCCCTCTGAAAAATATGACTTCGTCAGTTGGGATGATGACATTCCCAATATATGGAAAAATAAAATTCATGTTCCAAACCACCAACCAGATAATTATATACCAAAATATACCATAATTATCTATATACTATCCAATTATCATGAATAAAATATCTCAGCACAAATATGATCATTTTCCCTATATACCATGTTATTATAATCATGGTGAATCAATGTATCCCATCATATCCAAAAAATATTCCCTTGATTCCTTGGAAGATCATGCCACGAAGTGGTTATATCGTGGTTATATCGTGTGGCTGTGGCTTTATAGAAGCGAGTTCGTCATAGTTCACCCATGTAGTCTAAATGGAATAAGCCTAGGAATCCGGAACAAAAAAAGTTCTCCGAAAGTAATTATTACTCTTTGTAAGTGCTGAATAAACTTAATCGAAAGTCTCATTTCAGTAGGAGTATTCCCATTTCCAAGTGGCTGACAACTGTGGGTATTAAGTAAACCACTGGCAATGGGATGAATCACTGGTAAATCACAGTAACTTGTGGTTATGATAAAAAAATGGCACCTAAGTAACTAGTGACTAACCAGTTGCTAGTTAGCCATGTATATGACTATTGATATAGTGACGATGCTTAGTTTTCCTAACATCCTATACCAGTGGTTTTTTCTTCCCAAGACGGTTGTGTGTCTGAAGACCAATACTGTCACCCACATTTGTGGAAATGTGTCGTCGGGAAAATGATCACATTCGCCAATGCATTGAGGGGTATCCAATTTACCTTACCTGCTTGGTGGGAAAAACCTACCCGAAATATATGGTGATTGTATGGTTTAATATGGTGCAAAATCCCATTGATTATCATACTTAGTTACCCTCTGGTAAATTAACATAGACCCTGGCAGATAGGCGTTGGAAGACTAGTTTCCATTAAAAATTGGCTATTTTCAGGGTCTATGTTTATTTACCAGAGGGTACTTATATAGCTGCTTGGTGGTTGCTGCTAACCCCTCTGAAAAATGATGGAGTGAAGTCAGTTGGGATGATTTTCCATTCCCAATTTTTGTGGAACAATGAAATTCATGTTCCAAACCACCAACCAGATTTGCAAATGGGATAATGCAATCTATTCAGGTGACTTATTAAGCAGGGAAATTGACCACTGACGATTTCTGGGATGATATTCCATGAGCCTCTGAGCTGTTGAACACTGAAAAATATGTGTCGCTTTGTCTTTAAATGGGGTACCCATGTTCATCCCATGGTTTATCATTCTCAAAATTATATACCATCTGGTTATTTAACATAGCCATGGAAAATTTCCATTTTTAAGAACGGTAAACCATCTATTTCTATGGGCCATTTCCCATGGCTATGTTAAATAACCAGAGGATATATAGCAAGTGTTGGGGTCCCCATTTGCAGCAGCCATGTAAAAGTTGATGGATTGATGATTTGGGCTGCCAACCTGGGGCATGATAGCATCACTGGATGATATCCGAGAAAAAACACACTTGGGTAAACTTGGATAACCTCTTTATTGGGGTATCATGTCTGAATAACCTATAAATTCTTGGGCTATACCCTCTGGTAAACTAACAGAACTATGGCAATCACCATTTTTTATGCGTAAATCATCGAACTAAATGGGCCATGGTCCCATAGCTAAGTGATGAGGGAATCGCAAGGAATAGCAACCCGCACAAACGAGAGAAAAGCGCAAAATCCAACCCAAAAAAATGAAGTGAAAATCAAACCCCTAAGGTTTACCATGATGATCCAGGTCAAACAAGCCCCTAAAAACTGGTCCTCCAAAGCCTCTTTTCACCAGGTCCCAGCTGTTCGTTTTCCAGGGAAGTAGTACTGCACCCCACTTTTGGACCCGTTTTTGTTGCTTGTGCCAAATTCATTTGCTGACATACCCTGAGGCAATCAAACATAGCCAAGGAAAATGGCCAGGCTTGATATGCAAATCATCTGCAGGCTATTTGTTCCATGGTTAACTTACCCTCTGGTAAACTAAGATGACTATGGAAAATCACCATTGTTTATGGGTAACTCAACTATTTCAATGGCCATTTTCTATGTCGCAAACTGTTAGTCATTACCAGAGGCTGCGGATGGATCAGGTATATGCTAGGTCCAGCCTCCCACATGTTAAGCCATTGATTTCAATGGGCGCCACATGTCAAACTTGGCCATTTGCCAGAAGCCTCAAGAAATTGGTTGCACTTTTGAATACTTTTTTGGATCTACAAATGGCCATTCTAAGCCCCATTTGAACCATCCAAAGGGTAGCATTTGTTGACCAAATTTTTGGGCTCAATGATTCCCAGTGGCAAAACGATGTGATCAAGTTGAAATCATGTCAGCTCCCCACCAAGACTCCTTGGATGTGAGCCAATCCTACGTGGTTTATGCAGCAACGGATGCTCTAAACCGTCTAAATCTCTCCAGATTTTAGGTCGATCATCCTCTAGTCAAGCGGGCAAAAATGGCGGAACTGGCCGAACTCGCCATGATGGGGCTGTCACCACCACGGATCCGCCCAGTGGCATCTCATCCCCAGTTGCCAGCAGCCGTTGAAACCTTGGCGGGATCCCACTGCTAATAGTAATGACAATAACAATAAGAAACGTAGAACCACAAGAGCAGTAAGTAATATTTATTTAAAAAAAAACATAATCAAGAGTAATTGTTCATAGTAAATATGTTTTAATTAGTAACTCAAATTAAAACCTGGTAAGCAATAATAGTAAGAATAGTTCATGATTAAAGATAATACATACATGTAAAAATGGTAATCAGAAAAGAACAATAGTAACAATAATAATAATAACAATAAGAAGAACTAACAATAACAATAACAATAACAATAACAATACCAACACCAAGAACAACAACCACAATAACAATCACAAAACAACACCAATAGCAGTAACAGTAACAGTCGCAATAACAATAACAATAAAAGGGACAATAGTAATCAGAACATAGCAAAAACAAGAATAAGAACAGTTATTTCGGGGTGAGGTCGGGTGACCTTCTTATAATTTGCCTAGATATTATGGAATCAGTCTAGTTCATGTGGGTATTTTAGGACCATTATTCACAATTAGTAAGGACTATTGACAATTTGACTGTACTAATTAAGTAGCAAAAATATGGAGAACATCGGAATTCGTATGGAGATTTTACTAGTCATTGGGATATGATTCATCACAAATTGGGGACCAAAAAAGTAAAAAAACGAATGGACCATACAGGATGATGGGGCCCCCGTTGGTTGCGTTGAGTTGCCGTAAATGTTTGTGGCTGAATTCGATGGTTTATTGATGTGGATTAATGGGGTTTATAAACCAACTTCTAACTAAGGGGCAGCATCCTGTAGCTTTGACGTGATTTCAAGTACATTGATGGAAGCAACGGAACCAACGCTGACATTTCAAGGATCGAAATGACTCCCCTTCAGTAAAGGAAGAGTTGCAGACTGGAGCATCACCAGTTCCAAGCTAAATCATCTACCCTCTGGTAAATTAACATAGACCCTGGCAGAAAACGGGGTTGGAAGACTAGTTTCCATTAAAAATTGGTGATTTTCAGGGTCCAACTGTTTATTTACCAGAGGGTAACATCTGGGCCATCTATATGATAACTACGTTGGTGAACCTGTGGGAGAACCTCTGGGATCTGACTCGAAACCTCCAAGGGACGGCTGAAATGGGGGCAAGCCAGGCAAATGCGGCAGATGTCCTCAGTACACTTTTGGAGTCTTGCTGGACAATCCGTGGTGTTTGTCGATGATCTTTCCACCAAAAGGGTATATCACCACCAGGGAATGGCCCTGAGTGAAACACCAATGTTTTTGGATGTTTTTGGATGTGGAAACCCAAATCAGCTGGGAGGTTGAAAGTTCAAAAGTGCTGAAGGTTGATTCAGAAGCCCCAGAAGAGGGTGATGATTTGACTCGAAGGTTTAAAGGATCAAAATGGATCAATATGGATCAATGGTAAAGTCAGGTGCTCTAACTCTACCATCTGGTTATTTAACAGTTTGCCATGGAAAATCACCATTTTTAAAAACGGTAAACCATCTATTTCGATTAGGGCCATCTATACCATGGCAAACCGTTAGTCATAACCAGAGGGTAACCTTCATGAAGTTTCCACGCGACCTGATCAACATATGGACCATAGTTCTTGTTTCATGTAGGGCACCACGTGACACTGCCATGAATGAAAAACAAAAAAAACTCTGACGGGGAGCCTTTACGGATCATAACAGTTGTCTCAGTTGTCTTCATCATCATCATCATCATCATCAATAACCATCAATAACCATTAATAACCATTAATAAACATTGATAAACCACTACCATCATCATCATCATCATCAACCAGAGTAGCACTGCACATCAGCTTCTTGATCTAAAGCGAACAGGGGTTTCACTTCTATCGCGATGAGCTTCCATCTCGAGGCGTCGTCGTGAAATTGGCTCCTTTTTTAAAGCAAAGGGACGCAGAAATCCGCTTCCAGTACCCTCTTGTAAAACTAACGTAACTATGGGAAATCAGCATTTCTTATGGGTACATCCACTATTTCGACTGGGCCATTTTCAATAGCTTTTTGTATGTTTACCAGGCCGGGCAATGTCCAAAGTTGTCCGGTTCTGCAGTCGTTACAAGCAGCCATTTTTTCCATGGTCGTTTCACCTGGATCCCCATTTCTGTTGCAAAAAGCCAGTGGCCAGCACCAAAAACGCCGGTTGCACAATGAGCTTCGGTCAATTATCCCCTAGGTATATATATCAGATATATCAGTCAATTATCCCCTAGCACAAAACGCCAGTTTGCTGTCAAGATATCAGATATATCAGCTTCGGCGTCCATAAGAAAACAACAAAATCGGGGGTTCGCCATGCTATGAGAATCTGGCTGAATGGTGACTACAACAGTCACCGTAAGAATCCCCGAACACACATCATCCTAGTACCCTCTGGTAATTTAACATAGCGAACTGGAAAATCACAATTTTTCATGGGAAAATCCACTATTTCTATGGCCATTTTCAATAGCTACGCTAAATTACCAGAGGGTAATCAGCCATAGTCAGCCTATGTCATATCCTAAAATGCTTCCAGATCCTGTCATGTCCCCAGATGATTACCTCACATCCGTCGCAAGTAGAAATTCCTACCCAACCCCAAAACGCAAAGCCAAACAATTCTGGAAAAAACATCCCATCTACATTCATACCTTAATCCTAGCGGGGGAAAAACAAAAACAAAACTACAACAAAAATGATGTTGAACACCTACTTTGTTTCAATTACATCAAATCCCCAAAATGTCTTCGATTGCCTTTTTGTGCTTTCGAATCCCCATGGTCGATGAAATGCCAAGGTGCTCACTATCTTCACCGCAGACACCTTCAGGTCACGATTCGCATGCACTTGCGCCAGACATTGTCGTGTGCGCGTCTCCCACACGCGAACTCCTTCCTCGAGAGCTACGTCGGGAGCATTTCGTCAAGGGTAAGCGTGCGGTAGTCATGGGTGCTCTACATATACATGCATGCATTACATTACATTACAATACAATACAATACCATACATACCATTACATACCATTACATACCATTACATACCATTACATATATACATATATACCTGTATACCTGTATACATATATACATATATACCTGTATACATATATACATATATACATATATACATATATACATATATACATATGTACATATATACATATATACATATATACATATATACATATATACATATATACATATATATATATGGATATACATATATACATATATATATATATACATATGTATATATGTATATATGTATATATGTATATATGTATATATGTATATATGTATATCCATATATAAATACATATATATATATATAGATATATATACATATACATATACATATATATGTATATATACACACAGTTTTACTGTTTGTTCAAATATACGTCCAGTATGTGTTTGTTGATATTGTCTATTGATCTGTTTACTCATATTTGCATGTATCAATGTACGTAAATATGCGTCTATTCAACTGGATCCCCTGTCAAAAAAGTGACCATTGTCAGTGGAATATATGCTGAACCTCCCAATCTCATCTGCGGGGAGAAAAAAGAAAACATAAGAAAACATCCAAAATTTGTTGACATCAGTTGACATCTAGATCTCTGCCAACAAAACCTTCGTCCAGTTTGACAGAGGGATGTCAGCTCGGCCCAGTTCGCCATGGCACCACTTCGGAACAGGATGCAATGCGGCTTCCGTCCAGCGACATAGCACAGCTCAGCACCGTGCTGCTGTGGCCCAGGTAGACACCACCTGGGATCCAACGGGGCCAAGGCGGGGCCAAGTTTGTTCAGAAAAATGTCTGGATGGTGGTATACCCACCCCTCTGAAAAATATTAGTCAGTTGGGATGATTATTCCCAATATATGGAGAAAAAAATGTTCCGAACCACCAATGGATGATATGTTGTTTTTCATGTAGGTGTCATGTTCGTTTTCAGGAAACGTTAGTGAACTTCTTTGCTGAAATGGTTCCCGATTTGAGGGGATTCTTTTTTCCCTTGAAAATGTTGCAGACTAACATTGCCAATCTTTGATATTTCCTTGGCAAAAGAAAAAATAGCGGGTTTGTATGCATTCGATATTATATAAAGCAACCCAAACGAAAAGAAATCCATTCTTGTTGCATGGTATTTCTTACTAAAAAATCCTCGTATTATTTTTTTTTGTGGGTCGCATGAATCTATAGAATCGAAGTACCCTCTGGATCCCTCTGGTAATTTAACATAGCTATGGAAAATCACCATTTTTAATGGGTAAATCCACTATTTCGACTGGGCCATTTTCAATAGCTATGTTAAATTACCAGAGGGTAAAACTTTTCGCCATCCAGTTGGTAAACCCAGCCACCCTCATTGGAGAAGTCCTTGACCTCCAGGCTCCTGCACCGGCCGAGGTCATGATGACTGGCCGATGACCAGCTGATATATGATAAAACTTGCCGTCAGATTTCAGCAGGATCTTCCTGTTTATATATGATGGATAAATATGGATTATGGTATATGATGTATATAATCATATGGCTTAATCCATGGTTTATATCATCCATGGTTTATATAGACATCCATAGACAAACCATGTTTCATCAGTATCATCCTTTGTCAGATGATAAACTGATGGATTTTTGCATTTTCGAATTGAGCACCTGGTGAGGTGGCCAAGCATCGAATGCCTCTGTATTCCATGATAGATGGTCACTATAATTTCCCATAATAATGGATTGGGGCTCATCCCCAATATTGGATAGTATAACCCATATAAGAATCAACCAACAGAAGTTTTGAGCACTGCTCATGACACCAGAGGGTACCAAACATAACTTTAATCAGTGATAATGTAAACATTTGGTTAAATCACTAATAATACATTGTAACAATCGTGCATATATATATATACTAATAATGATACTCATCGTCGTCATCGTCATCGTCATCGTCATCATCATCATCATCGTCATCGTCACCGTCATCGTCATCGTCATCCTCATCATCATCCTCATCCTCATCATCATCATCATCATAATCATCGTCATCATCATTATCATCATTTACCAAACATCATTTACCAAACATCATGTTCCATCAATCAAGTTCTCAAGTTCGTTCACCACTTTCCCTGGCCTCAGCTCACCATGGGCTCCCGCCACTACCAGTTCCGAGGCTGCGGCACCTGCGCATAAGCTGTGCACCTGGCGCGGCGCAGCAGTGAGTGCTGCGCCATCGTGGCGTTTCATGGTGCAGAAACCGTGGAAATATGCGGGTGAAACATCAAAATTGTGAGGATTTGGTGATTTTACATGACTGCTTCACTCTCAAAAATATGGTGATTTGACATGAGTTAAGTATGAAAAAGGGTGTTTTTAACATCACTTAACTATCAAACATATGGCAATTTAACATGGACGGAACTATGGGAAACTGATCATCTAAAATTAACCATCCAAAAATGATGATGTCACATAACTTGAGCATTAAAAGTAGGGGGGTTGACCATGAATATTTGGGAGTTTCGCAACAATATTGGGTTGATTTATTAAGTGCATTTATGTCTGTATATTGATATGTACATATATGTACATATTTGCAACAAAAAAAATGACCCAAAAACACATGTCTTTCGCCAGCCCAGCCATGGGGAATCAAGTGAACCGGAATGAGTAATGGTGATTTACCCCATGACCACCTATTGGGGTGGCCAGTTTATTGGAACATGGACACAGAATGATGAAAAATGATGAAGACTTGGGTCAAAAATATGTCCTGGCTGCCCCAGTTACAGTATATCGAAGGAAGTTTAGAAGTCAAACTTCCGACAAACTTTGGACAGTATCTTCCTCTCCTTTGTCGGTTTCTTATTTTTGAAACTTCCGCCACCGATGTTTGAGTTGCCAGTTCATCAAGAGATCCTAAAACCTCAGGGATTGCAGGGAAGGTGTTGAATCATATTGCAGGGATTGGTGAAAAGCCACCCAAATATTGGCCAAATATTGGTGATACGTCGGACAGTTCACTCAGACTAATCTGATTTTTCTACTCTTAGCTGATGTGGGTGTCCAATAGTGAACCTGCAATTGGATATGGTTTATACCAAGCATTTCGGATGAAAATGGGGGTTGTCCTCAGTTGTTCATTGTTGGGTGGTAGTTTGGATACCACCAATCACAACAGATATCTATAACAGTCATATACAATCATAGTACTTGAAAATGATGAAACGTACCAATAATATCCAATTTGGACGTGATATAGTATAATATATATATATACAATAATGCTAGTGATAATAGTGAAACGTACCAATCATATCCAATTTGTATGGAAAAAATAAAAATGGATATGTAACAACCTTAATTCATCTAGATTTTTGAATATTACCCTCTGGTAAACGTTTACACAAATATGGAAAATCACCATTTTCCAGCTGGGCAAATCCACTATTTTTATGGGCCATTCTCAATAGTTTTTTGTATGTTTACCAGGCCGGGTAATAGATTAATAGATCTTATAAAATCCCATTTAGTCACCATAAAATCCCATAAAATCCCATTAAGTCACCATAAAATCCCATAAAATCCCACTAAGTCACCATAAAATCCCATAAAATCCCATAAAATGTCCATAAAATCCCATAAAATCCCATAAAATGTCCATAAAATCCCATAAAATCCCATTAAGTCACCATAAAATCCCATAAAATCCCATAAAATGTCCAAAAACACCAAAAAAAAAAAATGGGGCCGTTGGAAACGCCTGCGTTCCCGCCTGGGCGTTCAAGGATCGCGATTGGATGGGACGTCCCGTGCCCACATCCCAGAGTCGCACCGAACGGTCCAAACCTCACCCCCCAAAACGGTAGATTTGGAAATCCAAACGGCAAAAAAGAAAGCCATGGAAAGTGTGATTTTGATATATTTTGATATTTGACTCAAATGGTTTTTTTTAGCCATTTTAAGGGCTCTTAGCAAGATATAAACACCAAACTTCGAGAAACCACCAAGAAAAAACATTAAAAATGTTTCCATAACTATGAAAATATCGTTCGGTGCTCCTTTCTAGTCGAAATATGACGGTTGTAACAAAGGGGTTTCCCCTGAAATTTGCCTGAAATCAACCCAGTTGCTCAAAAAAACGCTTTGTGACTCCCCATTTCTGTTGCTCAAATCCCCAGCTATTGTTGAGTACCCTCTGGTAAACTAACATAGCTATGGAAAATCACCATGTTTAATAGCTAAATCATCCATTTCTATGGATTCTATGGTCCATTGTCCAGTTCGCTATGTAACAAATTACCCGATGGTAAATCTCCATATCATCCCATTATTCACCATTGTTAACCCATTGCAACAAACCACAAAAAATCACCATGAAAAATTTACCACGTTCCTATGGCTAAATCACCACTTTCCTATGGTTAAATCTCCATGTTGTTGCTTTAAAAAGTCCCCCATCATTAACCATCATTAACCATCATTAACCGTTATCAACCATTATTAATCCAGTAAAATCCCCCATTTTTGGCACGGCAAATCTTCACAGATCCCCAACTTCTGCTCTAAGCGGCTGCCCGAGGCCACCACGTGATGCAAGCCACTGGAGCCGCCCAGAAAACAAAGAGAGGTCACCGTCAACGAGTGACCTAAAAAAGGTCAGGCATTTAGAACGTGGATTTTTTTTTAAAAAAAAACAAAGGATCAAATTGTGATGTATGTATATATATATATATGTACATATTCTGTGGATTTTTATGGAATATAGGAGGTGTAGAGTTTTAGGTGGTAATAAAGACACTCAACAACATATTAATATATATATATATATTTATTTATTTAATAGTATTTAATAGTATTTAATAAAAAGGTTTAGACAAACCCACAGACGTGGTCAAATCTGGATTGGTGGTCATCTTATGTTTAGGAAACTGACAATCCTGTTTTTGGGGTACCCAATGATGAAATGCTTGTGGTTTGGAGAAACAAATGATGGCCTGAATAGAAAAATAAGGCACTTGGGATCCCATTTTCAGACTGGCAAAGAAAACTGTTCCTGGCAGTTCAAGTTGTGACTATAACTTCGGATTGTCAAGCAACATCAAGCCAGTTGCGTGTTAACCACAACCATCCCCATGATTTTCGCTTCATCGCACCCAAAAATCGCTGCACCTGCCCAGGAGTGGAAAGGTTTCGGATGGCCGGAGGGTTCAGACAACACATCCTTGGCGAACGATCGAGGGGAGAACTCAGCTGGTAAGTCATGTGATTGTACAAGAACTGCTCCATAGTTGGCAAATTTGACCTATACATCTAGGTAAACTAGGGTTTATGGTTGAAAGGTATATTTAAATGGGTCAATAAAGCAACTTATAGCTGTATAGGAATCAGCAATCCATGGTTGATTGACCTACAAAAAGATAGGGGTGCCATCTCTGATTGTCTTTTGTCCCTGCTAGGAATTTTAGCTTTCCACCCACTTCTTGTTGCATGTGTAATCAAAGAAAACTTGCAGATGATCAGAAGTCAGAAGTTCCAAACTTAAATTATATATATTCTGGATTCTTGATTTGTGTGAAATCTATCTTCTGATGATGATGATGTTGATGATGGTGATGATGATGATGATGGTGATGGTGATGATGATGATGATCATCATCATCATCATGATGATGATGATGATGACGATGACGATGACGATGAGGATGAGGATGATGATGATGATGATGATGATTATTATTATTATTGTTGTCGTCGTCGTCGTCGCCGTTGTTGTTGTTACTATTGTTATAATTTATAGTTGAATTACCCATTCAAGATGGTTATTTATTTCCATGGCAAACTGTCAGTTTACCGGAGGGTCGTTAAAGTTAGTGGTTATCTATATCAAATATAAATTAGATGATTTTATGGCGCTCGTAGAGCTGATCGGAGATCGCGATGCTAAAAAATCGATCTCAGCCCTTGTTGCAGTGTGCCATTTTGCATGGAAAAGATGGACAAAGGTGCCATTTCTGGCTGAAAATCCTGATGTTTCTAGCTGAAATCACCATTTCCGGAGGTTAAATCACCTAAGAAATCCCAATTTTGCTGGCGAAATCCCGACAAGATCTTCAATTTTTGCTGGGGGAAACCCCAATTTGTGTAGGATAATTACAATAATTCACTAACATGAATTAAGGCTTCTGGGATAATTCCCCTTACAATTCCCATTTTAGCCCAGGTATATAGAACCGTGAGGTCGCAACATAATTTACCCCAATTATTAGTTAGATTATCCAATAAATATATTCCCATCATATCCCCATGATATCCCCATGATATCCCCATGATATCCCCATGAATTTCTGGTTGGTGGTTTCAATCCCTCTGAAAAATATGACTTCGTCAGTTGGGATGATGACATTCCCAATATATGGAAAGTCATAAAATTCCATGGTTCCAGTCACCACCAACCAGATTTTGTAGGATCCAACTGAGATTCCGCCAGGTTGTAAACGTGCACGTTGGTATCTGCCGCTGCAGTGACCAGATATCCACCATCTGAGGAGACCAGCAGTTGTGTCACCTGCCGACATGACAGTCTGGTTAAAAAGTGAACAATTGAGCCATAGTGACTTGTACTACCTAATTTCTTATATTATATATATATAATTATATATATATGTGATATATGGGATGATGAAATTATGATTTTATGATTAACTGTAACCATTAAACATGGGGATAACTGTAACCTGTAACCATCAAAATGCGGGATTGGGTGTTTTTTACCCTTGTTGTTTGGTTTTTCGGGGACTTTTACGACCTAATTTATTGGGAATATTATGGGCCCCGCAGGGAAAGCGTGTTCAACCAGTATCAGTGTGTCATGAGATGGGAAATCCATGGAAAACGATGGAAAAAAATTGTATTTTGAATGGCTCAATTGACATAAATGGGGATTATCTATAATATAAATCTATTATAATTGACATAAATATATACATCTATTATATTAACCATCAATTTGATGGGGATTCGAATGGCAGCCAAAGGGCGAAGCTCTACGAGAAAAAAAAACTGCTGGAAAATCACCTCTAGATGACTGGAGATGATCGATTGCCATCTTTGACAAAGGTGTTACCCTCTGGTAAACTAACATAGCTATTGAAAATCACCATATTTAATGGGAAAACTCACTATTTCTATGGCCATTTTCAATAGCTACGTTAAATTACCAGAGGGTACATAAGACCCTGGGTTTTGACCCTCCAAAAATGTTGATGTGAACCATCCAAAGGGATCCAAAGGGGTGAATCAAGTAACAAAAATTGCAGTTTAATCATCCAAGACCAAGGAGCAGAACATCTGGCACGGTCTGGCTTCGAAGCCCCAAATGTAAATGGTAAAATGGATAAATTGGGTGGTTCATTGATATAGATATAGATATATAGATATATAGATATATAGATATATAGATATATAGATATACTGTATAGATAGATATACTGTATAGATAGTATGTATTGAATTAAACTAAATTAGTACATTCATTTGTTCACTGCTCACTTTGAAACCACCAAAATGAGGTCATTCCGGCGGAAAATCACCACCGCCTCCCGGAAGTGTGCGGGCCAATAGCGCAGCAGAGAGCCGGTGCTCGCGAGCCAGACGTAGATTGTGCCACTGGCAGCACCGGCGAAACACCAGGCCGCATCCTGCGGAGGTGGCTGAGGGGTTCGTGGTTACCTGGTTGGATTGGGAAGCAGCGGTGCTAACTGGGATGTTAGGATCAATATCTACAGTATTGGGATAATTATCACCACTTATTTGTTATTAGATGCTATGATCCTCTAACTTACTGGAGATCCCCAAAAAAAAAATCAGGGTTGCTCCCATCACCAAATGACCCATTTCCCCACGTTCCGTGGCTGTCAGTTACCGACCAAAGTCGGGTTAAGAAGTTCTGAAAAAGGACATCAACGAGAAACAAATTGGGGCTCTATAACTTGGTAGGACCCAACAAATGTATCATTTGAGCCATGGTCAATACTCACCAAAAATGGTTGATGGTCATCCCATCCATAATAAGGATCCAAAAATAATGGTTATTATAAATCCCTATGAACCATTGGATGACTAGCCCCTATTAATGGTTATTAACCATGAGTATTGACCATAGCTCATTTCATACTTTAATGGTTCGCTTAAAGTTGTTGCTGTAGTGGTTTACGGGCTGAGTTTTGGGAGGCAGTTCATTCGATCATTTGTGATCGCTACAAGACATCCCTAACATTGGAACGGGCTGTCACCCACAAGCTGGGCTTGTGTCCGGCAATTGGGTGCAGCTCTCGTAGACCCAAAATGACTTGGGTAGAAAGGTGAAAAATCCGCCACCTCGTTCCATCAAATACCCTAGGGTAAACATACAAAAAGATGTGGAAAACCCATAGGGAAATGGTGGGTAACTCCACATCTTTGTCAAAGTTTAGTGTCCAGTGGCAACCTGGGCTGCAGCCTATTCGCTAAAAAAAGGGAAAGTAACCTCTAGTGCAGGCATGTGCTATTGAACTGCTATGGAGCAATCTTAGATAATCGGAGGGTACCCAGCATATAACCAGCATATATACCCTCTGGGAATTCAACAATTTTGCAATGGACAAATCACCATTTGTTCATGGGTAAATCAGCTATTTCTAACTGGGCCATCTATACCGTAGCTATGTGAAGTTACCGGAGGGCACTAACTTCAGGAATCACGTTTGGTACACCCTTGCGCGCCTGGCTGAAGGCCATTGCCGTGATCTTTTCGGGTAGAGATGCCCGGTACGTCACCTGGCAACCCCTTAAATCCATTGAACCAAATAGCCAAAGATTGATAAGAAAATATTATACAGTTATACACCCCTTAAGGGCCCAGAATGAATAGGGCAAGTACTAAGAAAGGGGCTTCAAGGAGGTATTTTACACTGGGAAAAGGGATTAAATCTTGGTTTCTTCCAGGAATTAAAAAATGGATCATAGGCTGGATAGATTACAACATTCACCAACTGCTTCGCAGAAAAGTCAAGTCAACCATCATCTATTGTGACATCGCAACGTGAGGTTGCAACACAATAAGCTAATTTATCCCGATTATGACCTATTGTATCCTGGTTGGTGGTTTCAGACCCTCTGCAAAATATGAGCCAGTTGGGATGATGACATTCCCAATATATGGAAAGTCATGAAATTCATGTTCCAGTCACCACCAACCAGTATCTCACTATATCTCCATTGTACCAGCATGTTTTGTTCCTTGACTCCGGATTTCTTCGATGATTTTTTCATCCCGAAAACCTCCAGGTGGGTCTGGTCATTTCAGAGGAAAAAACACGACCTTTTTTCACCATCCAGCTATTGGGAAGGCCCATTTTCAGACAAGCCCGCTGCGAAATAGCTATGATATTTTCAGACAAAGACTGCTTCATATCAACTATCCATAATTATCCACTAATGTGGGTAAAGCAATGCCATCTGCACCATCCCTCAGTCATCACCATTTTTTGGTTGGTGCTATGTTTAAACCATTCCTAGTCATGGGTGGTAAAAATGGCCTTGTTTTACCCACATCAAATTTTCAGCTCTTTCTCCCGGGCCGAAAAATCGAAAAATTGAAAAATCGAAAAATCGAAATCTGGGCCTTCTTGGAGCCCCAGTCCCAGGTCTGCCACAGCGCCTTGCTCGCCTAGCAATGGCCCGTAGAAATGTTCAGAACATCATCGCACTGAACAGGAGAGGACTGTTCCAGCCATGAGTACAGGACTTGTAGGACTTGTAGGGATCCCCAAAATGGATAAACAGGTATAGTTCACATTGATTTCATTTGTGTAGACTTGGGATTATGTTTGACCAGAATCCGGTTGAATCATTTTGAATCTACTATCAACATAGAATGTCCATGAATTTCCCATTGTAAACCCGTTGATTTAGGGAGGGATTCTCTTTTTGACGCATCAAAAAGCGAACATCTGAGGCAATGCGACCAGTGAACGCCTGCACCGCGTAGATATGCTGGCCGCCTGCATCCACAGAGCCAAAGGCCTGGCCGTTCCAAGCCATGAAAAGGGACGCTGATGGACCTGCAGAACTTTTTTGTGTTTTCTGCTGCTATCGAACAATTTTTAGAACAGTCAGTATTATCATGTATAATACAGTATGGAATATATATATATATATAAGTTTTGCAACAAATGTCTTTATTGTGTCTTTATTGTCCATCCAAATGTGGTCATCAATAATTTTGACCCAGGGTAGCCCCACATCGCCAATCGTTTTTAGCTGGGTAGGTTAATATAAATCACCCGCGGAACATCGTGGAACTTGCAATTGTTCACCCACCAAAAACTATTTTTAAACAAAAATATGATACAATGTATATAGTTTATTTTTTGTTCAACCATCAAAAGCGTTAAAATATGATGATCCACTCATTTATCCCAAGGTTTTCCCAGGTCGAACCAAGGTACATTGGGTTGTACTTGGCCACCTTCCTCATAGCTGGCCACCAACGCACCGGACCTCGAAGCTGGGCATCCGCATAGAATGGCATAGAAACAGATTGAGGTACTAAGCCTATGGTTTTCTAGGGGAAAAAGATCTACAAACAGTGGCTTGTCCATATGTGTATGTATATATATATATGTGTGTGTGTGTATCTGTATATATTTACATATATATATATATAACGTATATAATGTATATATATATACATATGTGTATATATGTATGTATATATATATATATATATCATGTGTATATTTATATCATATGTTGCATTGCTGGAGGGTAAATCCCATCATTTCCCACCAAGCTGCCGCAGATCTGTAGCCAACAAGCCGTCACCATGCGCGGCTAGGACCACTTCCATGGTCGGTTCGGTGAGTCGGTGCTGTTGGGAAGTGATGTCGTGGGTCAAACAATGCCATAAACCATGCTCCAGTCATCACCATTTTTATAGGTGGTATGTTTGAACCATTCCCAGGAAAATGGGTGGTTTATGGATGTTTATGGCATGGTTTTAACCACATTGTCGTGGTGTAGCTCTTTAGCCATTGAAACTGGGCATCTGAAAGATTTGTTCAGCCTTTCGAGCCTTTAAGGGAGCTAGATTCGAATAGTTTCGGCTACTTGTAGATTCGGCTGGATCTCCGCTGCGAAGCTGGTGTGATCAAAACAGAAGCCTCGACTCATGATGAGGCTTGACACGTTATTCATGACAGAGGCTCCCATGCTGGCAAATCTGCGAATCTGCACCATATGTGACTGCCGCACCTCTTACTTGTGGCATCAGAAGGAGAAGTTCAGGGATATGGGGAAGTTCCAAAGGCTGCACAAATCTTGCTGTCTTTTGATGTAAAGCCAAACAAATCTACCCGCCCGTGTCTGGAATGGTTTGTCTGTACTATCGAGACGTGTGGCATGCAAGTAAATCTAGGAGTGGGTCAAAATGGGGACCAACAAGAATTGGGATGGTTTAAAGTCACGAGAATCTACATCGCCGGTTTGTGGGTCTCATTGCAGGTTGAATTTTGATTGGATCTCCTTCAATCTGTTTCAATCTGCAACCGAGCAGTGGAACAGCTGCAACGAGAATTCTGCTTTGCAGCTTTTGTGTTGCCCAAGAATATCACATATAACTTTGGAAAAGTCTGAGAACATGTCCTCTTCCCAGGGTTTGTTGAATCTTCTTGCCACATTTAAGCAGCTGCACTCTGCCGGCTTTGATAAAAGATCGTGTAAGTCTCAGCCGCTACTTGGTGACTTTGGGAACAAAACCCAGATAACAAGTACCAAGGATAAACCATGTTGATACTCAACATTTTTTGGGGATCCCCAAGGATCGAAACAAATGGGTTCTTGACAAGTGTTAAACTTGCCTAAAGCACCAACAGCAATAACGAATCAACTCCCACTCAGCACCGACCCATCCCATGCACCTGCAGTGGCGGTGCCATGTTGGAAGGATATTTGAAATCTTCAAACTCCCAAGGCATCTTGTAGCCTTCCAGGGAAGGGCACACTCATCAGGTTTTCGGTGGTCAGGACAGGAGCCCATTCGGGCACTGATTTGGTAATCGCCAAAATCCGAACGCCGAAAGGATTGGCAAATTGGCAATTTTCAGAACATCCGGTAGACTCACAAACTTCTTACATTGCACATCAGGTAGACCCTCCAAGTCACGCTTTTTGGTCATGTTTCCGGTCGACAACTTGTGGCGCGTCTTTTTTTGCCCCCAAAATGGATGGATCCAAGACATAAAAACAGCACCGAACCCCATTGGCCCATTGGCCCATAGTTCTATGATCCTGCACCAGTTGATATGTGGATTATCCCATTATTTATATATATATATATAAGGTTTCAAGCGTTGTTTTGTAAGTGGTGCATGGTGGTGCGGGATGTCTTAACCATCCACCGTATCCCATTATGCCCCATGATGTCCCTACTTTTTTGAGTGTGGGCCCCATTCAGTAAATGGGTCAAAAATATACCTCCAGTTCCGATTCACGGATTAGATCCGAACTGGATTTATATGGAGTGAAATATGCCTTATATCATGTTATATGTGGATTACAAACCACTTACTATCCATATATAACTCACATAATAACTTTCATAATAACCATTAAAAAAATACTTTACTTCGTGTGATCCCCACCATGACATTTATACATGTTCTTACTGGCACATCTTCTGGCATTCTATCTGACATATCTTCTTACATTCTATTTGACATTCTATCTGGCATATCTTCTGGCATTCTATCTGGCACATCTTCTGGCATTCTATCTGACATATCTTCTGACATTCTATTTGGCATTCTATCTGGCATATCTTCTGGCATTCTATCTGGCAAATCTTCTGGCATTCTATCTGGCACATCTTCTGGCATTCTATCTGACATATCTTCTGACATTCTATTTGGCATTCTATCTGGCATATCTTCTGGCATTCTATCTGGCATATCTTCTGGCATTCTATCTGGCATATCTTCTGGCATTCTATCTGACATATCTTCTGGCATATCTATCTGGCATTCTATCTGGCATATCTTCTGGCATATATTCTGACATATCTTCTGGCATTCTATCTGGCATTCTATCTGGCATATATTCTGAATATCTTCTGGCATATCTATCTGGCATATCATATTTTCTGGCATATTTTCTGGCATTCTACCTGGCAAATCTTCTGGCACTCTATCTGACATTTTATCTTCCTACATGAGGTCCGGCAGGGAACACTTGGCGTGGATACTCGCGGTTGAGGTCCGGCAGGGAACACTGGGCGTGGATGGTCGTGGTTGAGGTCCGGCAGGGAACACTGGGCGGGGATGGTCGTGGTTGAGGTCCGGCAGGGAACACTGGGCGTGGATGGTCGTGGTTGAGGTCCGGCAGGGCACACTGGGCGTGGATGGTCGTGGTTGAAGTCCGGCAGGGAGCAGGAGGAGAGGAGACGAGGAGAGGAGACGAGGAGAGGAGACGAGGAGAGGAGAGGAGAAGAGAGGAGAGGAGGAGGAGGAGAAGGAGGACGAGAAGAGGGAGGAGAAGGAGGAGGACGAGGACGAGGAGGACGAGGAGGAAGCAACTGACATAAAATCTAACAACCCTCACCTGGCAGGTGGGGAAAATACATAAGTACTCCTTTACAAGATTATACAAGTATCCTCATTACCCCATGATTCTCCTATATCCATACATAACTCACATAATAAGCACCTGGGATGTGTAGATTCCCAGTGGCATAGCCAGCCACTGCGGCCACCACCTCAACGTGGCCACTGGAGATGCGGCCACTGCTTCTGGTAATTCATTGGATTGGTTTAAGGGAAAATCTTAACAGGAAACCAATGGGTTTTTACCATCAAATATTAAGGGCTTTCCGGTTAAAATTGTCCCATCATCCAATTCTATGAGTAATTTTTAACAGTTTGCTAGGGCTAGAACTCAGAAAATATATGAGAATATGACAACAAATGGCTGGTATGACTGTTTCGACTTGCCGGTGTCTGTCATAAACTTTACACCGAACACCAGAGTGCCATGTGGCTTTGTCTAAAACTTGGGTACCTAAAATGGAGGTACTGTACCATATGGGGGTTTCCATAGTCATGGGGATACCCCAACAGCTGGATGGTTTATTTCATGGAAAATCTGAAAATAAAATAGATGATTTGGAGGTACCCCCATTTCAGGAAACCTCCATATAAAGCCATAGAACTTGGGGACAAATCCCTTTAACTTTAGGCAATACATAGGCTACCTCCAATAAATCGGTACCATTTCAATGGCCATGGATTTGACAGGTGAAAACCACGATCTTTCAGCGCCATATCGAAACCAGTGGAACTTTCAGGACAAGATCGTCTTCATGAGCCCCGTCTGTTGCTGCAATATGAGGCCAGGGCAAACAAAAGGAACCATGGTTCGATTCGTCTTGAAGATCTTGTACCTTGTAGATGACTATGAAGACTATGTACTCATTTATCTTTTTTCCAATAGGCAATCTTGGATCCAAAATTCTACAGTAATTGAACATGCGGCCGCGAAAAAAATCAGCATGTTGCTTGTTCAAAGCAACCATACCTACGATAGGATGGGATGAATCACACTGGTGGCTTCAATTGTAATCACCATTTTTTCAGGGTCAAAGGGTCAAATCCTCATCTGGTGCCTCATCCAACTTCGTAGGTGAGAACTCACCCCAGAAAGTGGAACACACCCTTGGGTAATTAGACGTGGCACTGGAAAATGGCCCATAGAAATATGATTTTCCCAGCGAAAAAAACATCAAATTCTTACATAGCTGGGAAAATCATATAGACCATTTTATATTTTGGAAAATCCCAGCTATAAATGGCCCATTTTGAGGATTTCGCCATGATTTTCCCAGAGACACTTGGGTTAGGGCACCCACTTACCATGGAAGGAGCCGTCCCCAAATGGTGCACAGTTGATGCCCAGGTGCCAACGAGCCCTTGCCCGTGCTCTCACCATCACGGATGCGGCCACCCGCTCCCGTCTCAGCACCTGCTGAAGAAAGCTTGATCAACCATGAAACATGTAGGAATTAACAGGATTTAACATATTTTAACATGATTTAACATGTTCAACCTGTTCTAACAAGGAAAAAACATATAACAATTGTGATTTAACAAAGAAGTCGAAAAGTGATGGCGAGTTTTTCAATTCTTAGTGACTTGCTAGGGTGCAATTGGGGATTTAAGTCGCCAACAGCGGCGGTTTTACCACAAATGGAATGGTACTTCACAAGCAAAAACTGCTGGCTGCTGGTTTCAATCTCTGAGAATTAACCTGGTATGTGGTTGATAACCATGATATACAGTAATCACCCAATTCTTAGACGGCCTATCAGTCAATTCACAACTGCGAGTTTCTCTCTATTTTTTGTGGTTGAGCCAGAGCCACCCCCAAATGAAAGTCAATTGGGATCATCATCCCATTATTCCGGTTGAACATCAAGCAACCAATTATATCCAATTATGATATCAGTCAACATAGGAATGTGAGCACATTAGCCGTGTTTTTTTTTCAAATCGTAGAAAATTATCAATCACATCAACAATTCGTGATGGGAATTGTGCTATTTAAGTCCCGCTCAATTTTTCTTTCTGTGATCAATGTCATGATCATCATTACCCTGGGAAAAATGAGTGAGAATCGAGGGTCAAATGGCAGTGTGTCAAAACCTTGTACCCCTGGTGAACATCAAAATAGCTGGTAAATGGATGTTCATCCCCCTAAAAATGGTATTAATAGGTATTGATCCATACCCAAATATGTACTATCCCTATTTGAGGTACCTGGAAGTCTGGAAGAAGTGTCACAAGAATTCTGAAAATGACGAATAAAATCATCATGCCATGCTATTCGTATGTCTTCGAATTAAAAAAACAAAAAAAAACACACCACAGTTGGAGGTTTGGGGTGTTCAACAGTTCAACCTATCCCGGAGTATGAGAAATGATGACAGTCTGATCTGATCATGCCCGGTCCTTGCGGAACAAAAACTGCCATCTGCTTATTTAACATGGCCATGCTATAGATGGCCCATAGAAATAGATGGTTTACCGAACTTAAAAATGGTGATTTTCCATGGCTATGTTAAATAACCAGAGGGTAATACGTACAACTTGCAGAAAAACGATTCCACCGACCAGACTACAGCTTTGGAAAATGGCCCGTGCCTCTGATCAACCGTCCAAAGCATGGGGCTGATGTTTTCTACTATCCACAGTAGCTTGAACTGACCTGGTTTCGTCCAAAAACAAGGGGAAAACCGCAACCACAAGAACGCTCCATGTTTGAAACGGGAAACTAGTAGTTGGAGAATCCCGCATTGAACGAGTCCACCTCAATTCCCAGCGCAGGAACGAATACCGAAGACGCCATCCCCATGAACACATGGTTCAACATCAGAACGAGATGAAAAGTTTGATATCACACGCCTCGATTTTCCCAACCAGTAAATAAAATGGCGGTTTTCCCAAACAAGCAGCATATGTTACTGTTACCAAACAACCATGAATTTCTATCGCCATTTTTTTGGCCCAGCCCAGGTTTTTTCCCGTTGCCTGGAAATGGTGCAATGCCACAGGGGAAGTTATGCGTTTCAACCGTCAAAGTGATGTCAAAGTCCCTGGTCACCTGGGGGCCAAGTCCAGGATCCACCATGGGCCGCATCACTTTCGGCCAGAAATGTCACATCCACATCATCCAAGAACTGGCAATGACTAACACTTTGCGAGCTGGAAAATGCTGAAAAAAACAGATGAGATACCCTCTGGTTATTTATTACATAGCCATGGTTTTTCGATGGCCCATAGAAATAGATGGTTTACCGTTCTTAAAAATGGTGGATCTTTCCAGTTCGCTAACCGTTTGTCATAACCAGAGGGTATTTTTAGATGATTTTCCCATTAATACCTCCATTTACTTCAGGGATTTTCCATGGCTAACCGTTAGGTTAATCTCAAAAATGGTGGATGTGCCCCAGTTCGTTAGCTAAGTTGGTGCAAATAAGTCCAATTTCACTATGGTTTTTGTTGGTGATCTAATGTGATCTATCTATAGTTATAGTACACAAGCGGAACTTAGAATGTGGTTTTGGATAGGTGATCTATAGTTACTGAGATTATAACCCATTTATAACTGGGGGGGCACCACCTTGCAGGATCTCACCCTGGCCACCACGAGATCCCAAGGACAGGGCCTCCTTGAAAGCCGACGGTTGAGCCACGGAGCCGCTGGGCAAAAACGCCGTATGCGCATAACCTGGCGGATTCACCGGGGATAGGAACCGTGATGCTGGCGATGCTGGCAGCCCAGCAACGCAATCCTACAGAAGCTCCACAACAGCAATGGATTTCACAACTTTCGATGTTTTTGTTGGGAATGAATGAACTATGACACTATAATATTCTGATAGCTTCGGTCGTTTTGAGATGCTTCCCTGTAAGCATCATTTACGTTGTGAAGTCGCGACATGGGGTCGCTATGACTTTCCCAGATTGGGTATCAATGGACCAATAAAAGGCGTCGTTGGATCTAGAGCCATCCACTTGTAGGGGGGAACAATTTTGAACCGTACCCAAACGAACATTTCGGGCTGCACTCCTGCCCCATCCGATTCTACCGGTTGCGAATATCCCTATTATGGTACCATAACTTCCCCATCAACCAGGTAGAAGAACCGCTGCAAGAAATCGGCCGGGGTATTTTGCATGGCTCAAATGTACCCGTACAGGTAATCAAATAGATGATTTTCCCAGCTATAAACCTCCATTCGCTCAAATCCCTCCTGTCCAGTGTAATCCCACCACAATCCCAAAGGCCCAAACTATATCCCACATTTCATCCCACATTTCATCTTCATTTTTTTCAGTGATGTTCATTGATGTTCCCATTTCAACCATGATGATCCCCATTTTCCATATAATTCTGCTATAGTCCCACTATCATTGCCAATCTTAGATGCCCTGCAAAAAATGGCAAATTCTTTGCTGGTGAACGTAGATATTCCCATTGATACCAAAAGACTAGTTAGGATTAAAGTATCCATGTAAGATTGACCTAGCTATAATCCTGGGTAAATTATAATATTTCACTAACCTGAATTAAGGCCATTTGGGGATGATTCCCCTTATTAACCATGATTCCAGTGAGGGAGAACAGTGAGGTCGTTATAATTTACCCAGATAATCCCAGTGAAATCCCATACCAACAATTCACCAACCCACGGTAGCGCCGTACGCCGTGAAGTGGCCTCGTAGGGCACTGCTGTTGTCGTGGAAGCCAATGACGCTGTTGCCTCGGAAGCTCCGCCAAAACGGGGACGTTCAACTACCAAAACTGGTGGATGAATGCCGGTTAATATGAATTAACGGTTTACATACAGTATATAGCAATGGTTTATATACGTTATATAATGTGAATTAATGGTTTATATACAGTGTATATATATATAATTAACTCCAAATTATTATTGTTATTATTAATTATTATCAATTATTATTAATTATTATTATTATCAATTATTATTATTATCATCATTATTATTAGTAGTAGTATTATTATAGGCCCGTCCAAATCTATGTTCCCCCATAAGAAGGCCCTGTTGCATGTGCCCTTGGCCCCTGTTGGTAGCAGTGCCCCAAGGGCATCATTGGTACCCCGCTTGTAGTGGAACATACAGGTGGTTGACAGCCTTAATTTCTATACGTAGAGAGAGAGAGATATATATATATATACACCCATTGTATAGCCATAATATATAATAATATATAACAGTATATAATAATATATAATAATATATAATAATATATAATAATATAATAATAATAAGCCCGTGTTTGGCTTAAGACTGGTGGTGGGGGGGGGGGTGGTGCACGGCAAGGTGCTAAAATTTCAAAAATAGGTGCTCAAATTTAAGGAAATAGGTGTTTTTTTGAAGAAACCGGGTCGGGATCCAGTCGGGACCCAGTCGGGACCCAATCAGGCACCAATTTTTGCTTTTCGAATTTTTGGCACCGCGTTTGGACCTGTCGGGAAGCAGCCAAAATCACCGAAAAACATGCAAAAACACTGCAAAAATGCTATTTTTTATGAATTTGGCTGCCTCCCGACATTGGACTGATCCCGACTGGATCCCGACTGGATCCCGACTGGATCCCGACTGGATCCCGACTGGCCAAAAGCGGTGCCCAAAAATGCAAAAATTGGTGCCCGACTGGGTCCCGACGGGATCCTGACTGGATCCATAGATTGGCAAGAACCCACTCCCGCACCTATTTTTCCCATCCCAGACCCACCCTTGCCCCTATTTTCCTTTTCCGCGCACCAGCCGTGCACCAATACCCCCCCCCCTCCTGCACCAAAACGGCAAAAGCAGTCTTAAGCCAAACGGGGTTCTACAATGTATAATAATATATAATAATAAATATATAATAAATATGTAATAATATGATAATAATATGATAATATATGCATGTACCGCCCATTGTATTGGCTGTCTCGGTTTTATCGGATTTTAAGCCATAGCCAAAAAAAACATCGGCCCAGATGCTGATTCGCTCCTTCAATGGTCGCTTCACCCACTGGAAGAGGGTCAAAGGCATGTCCTGGCAAATCTTGGATTGTTTTTTTTGTGGTGACTCAATGTGGTGACTGTTGAGATTCTTAATCCCCATTAATCTCTATTAAATCACTCTTAAATCCCACTAAGTCACCATTAAACTCCATTAAACCCCATTAAACCCCATTAAATCCATGTAATCAATGTGGTTTTACCTGGGTTTTGGGGTTTTACTGTACCTGGGGCTTTACCGTCCTGGTGACGTCAGGAGCAGGTGACATGATAAACCCATCTGGTTGGTGGTTGACCTATCCCTCTGAAAATATACTGTTAATAATGGTTAATATATGGTTATTATATGGTTAATGATGGTTAATAAAAAACTGCTTGGTGGGAAAAACCTACCCGAAATATTCATGGTGATTGTATGGTTTAATATGCTGCAAAATCCCATTGATGATCATACTTAGTTACTGACATGATACTGGTTGGTGGTATACCTACCCTTCTGAAAAATATTATATAGTCAAATGGGATTATTGTTCCCAATACATGGAAAGTCATAAAAGCCATGTTCCAAACCACCAACCAGGATATGGATATAAACCTAGCGAATGATAAATGTACTGTAGATGTAATATCTGTATATATTTTTAGGTATACATAGATAGGATGGATATTTATGTATGTATCATATATGTGAAGTGACATTTTTAGGTACTTTCTTTAAAGTTCTACCAAAAGAAACAGCATGGCCAGTGCAGACCTGGTGTACCAAAGAGAAAATTTTGGTCAGATAACGCCATAACATCATTGGCTGTTGACACAGACATTTGTCCCGGGAAGCCGATGATGAAACCATAGCTGCTATAGCTGCACCATAAAAACCCAAGTTTCTCACTAGAAACTCCCAAGTTCACCATAAAAAAGCAGCTTTTAACTGACATGTCAAAAATATGAAAAAAGAGGTCCCCCATAGTTAGCTTAGCTAAGTTGCACATTAAAAGTTATAGAAAAACTGTGTCTAGCTATAGTTTTGTGTGACAAGAAAGTTTATAAACACCAATTTCTACAATACCCTCTGGTAAACTAACATAGCTATGGAAAATCACTATTTTTAATGGGTAAATCCACTATTTCAATGGCCATTTATACAATAGCTGGAAGCACCACCGTGCTTTTTTACAGCCCCCAGCCTCGCCATCAATGACCACCTTTCCACCAAAGAACCAGTGCCGGCTGTGCTCGGAGTTACCCTGACATCGAAACGGCAAACCGTGCGGATCCCACGTGAGAACTCCACGAATCCACGTGATATCGAATGATATACATATAGATTGACTAGTTGAGAACATTTTATATACATATACATATACATATACATATACATAGAAATACACATACACACACATACACATATACATATATATATATACATGTATCATATGCATATTTCATATCCATACATATATATATATACACATCACATACATATGCGTAGTCAATGCGTCGTCAAGTTAATACCATTCAACAATCACCATCACCATCACCATGAATTCCCGACTTTCCCAGGCTCCTGTGCCAAGTCAAAGCATTCCACCGTGGTGGGATCCCGCTTCAACTCGTCTCTAAAGACGCGCAGGTAGTAGGCGATATCCTACGCGTGGCTGGGAAATCCCCCCAAAATCAGGAAAATCATAGGAAAATCATAGGAAAAGATGGGAAATCCTCGAAGTAAATGGAGCTTGTAATGAGAAAATCATCTACAAATGATTGATTTTCCAGCCAGCCATGTTGGAGTACCTCAGAGGCTACAAGTGATGGGATTTATATGGAATTTATATGGACCCCGACGCGACCCCCATTCCCAACCATAAGAAGCCCCTATAATTAGTAGAAGACTCTGGGTTGAGATCGTCATATGTGAGTCACCTGTGAGTTGTCTATGTATGAGGCGTTTTTACAAGTGAAATTTTAGCACAGCTGGTTGGTGGTTTTATAACCATCTTGAAAAATATGAATTCGTCAATGGGAAGGATTATCCCATATATTATGGAAAATAAAAAATGTTTTACTCGCGGCAGTCCGAAGCCAAGCTGGGTCGCGCAACGAAGGCTAACGGGGCGAGCACTAGAGATGCAAACGGTCAAGTGTCTTACCTGTACCCGATGCAGGTTCAGGCAGCTGGGCGGCCAAAAAACCCTCAACAAAATTGTGTTCATCATGAGTGATGTCGATGGCCAACGAACCCTTAAAGCAACTGATCCAATGTGAAGCCGGCCGCACAGTTGCCGTCGTGAAGTGGACCGAAGTGTCCTTCAAAAACTGCTGGAGCATGAGCCGGAAAAACTTCACGCGCACTCCCATTCGCATGTGGTTAGCGAGGGAGGCCACTTCACCAGTTTCAACCTTCCAAACACCACCAATTTTGGAAACATGCACCGGGCCTTGCCGTTTCTGGAAACTGATGAAGAGTTGGTGAAACGAAATCCATTGGATTGGACTTCCGGATGCACGGATGTTGGAAAACCAGGCGGACACACGACGAAACAAGTCCAGACCAAAGAACCGACGGAAGGACGGACCAGTCAGCACCAGCTCAGCAGGCCAGGTAAGGAAGGGCTCAGGCTGGGCACGCGCCAAACGCAAAGGCCTGGACACTTGTGGGACGACAGGCCGATCCATTGAGGCTGATTCATTCCAAAACTTCGACACAGCAAGGATGTGGGCACGCGCAAGCGAAGCTTGTTCGGTACAAAGATCAAGCTGATCCGAATAGGCAGACCACAATGCCCACGTTGCAGCAGGTCGGGCAACGTTGGCTGATTTGGCAATTCCATCAGCAATCTCATTGCCACAGACGAGCCAGCGTTCAAGGTCATTGCTGCAACTGGCCTGGGAGACATGTGCAGGAACTTTCAAGACCTCAACGCATCCAGGGCCAATGGCCGAAGCAAGCTGACAGATTGAGCGGAGTAAATCACAGTGCTTGGAGTTGGCACGGACTGGAAGGCCATCGCGAACATGAGTGGCAAACGCAGCAATGGCACTCTGGCAGTCGGTCCAAATGCGGATCGCACACCGGTGTTTGAGGGCAAAGCGGAGTGCAGTCATGATGGCATACAATTCCGCCCTGTACGCTGTTTGGATGATGCCCGGCAAGGGTTGTCCCGCCAACGCCCGAAAGTCATGAGGGCCAAAGTCCAGACGAAACGGTGACCCCAAGACGACAGCCCAGGAGGCAACTCGGAGTGACGGACTGGTAGGGAAAAGGCATGACCCATCCGTAAAGACGTCAATGACAGCCGGGAGGGGCCCACAAGGCTGGAAATCCACCTCAAAGGGGACAGAGTCCAAGTAGCGCAACCAAGCATCGGCAAGGCAAGGCCTCCAAGTCCAACCACCGCAGGAAGGGACGGAACAGCTGCAAGGAAGTCCACAGGCAAACCGTCACGCAAGGACTGAGTTGCAGGACAGGCCCAAAGCCGGTGCCAAGTTGAGTCCAGCTGGCCACAGTGGACACAAAGGTCACTCCGAGAGGCAGACCAATGCTGAGCATGCGCATTGGTGAGCGTGGCCCCATGAAGGTACTTCCGAAGGATGCCTTGGTCATATGGATCATGGCGGAGATACGCCTGGCGTGTCTGAGCAACATCGACGGACTCAAACCCACGAAAAGAACCACGGTGCCTCACCTGAACAGCCATGATGGTGGTCCAGGCCAACTGAAGTCGGACAAGCAGTTCACCAAACGGACATTCAAGCAACCGAAAGGAGCCAAGGGAGTCAGAGACAAATCCATGAACCTCCGGGGTGAACCCAACCTGGTGCAGCCTTTGGCAAAGGATCTCAGAGAGAGAATTGAACTGGGGCTCATCTCCACTAAACGGGCCAGAATCAAGGTCCTCGACGACGCAAAAGTCCACCCCCAGGGCACGTGCATCTCTGATGGTTTCAAGGGCAGCAAAGACAAGAGGGTCAACCGTTAAGCCTTCGAGGCCACATTGCAAAACTGGGTTAGCTCCAGGCTTTTGAAGGTGTAAGGATTGCATCATATGGGTCCGGAGGCTTTCGAAGTGCTTTCGACCAACCACGACCCGAGTAACCAACGTGAGCTTCTGGCGGAAGGTGCACCAAGTCCCAGAAAGCTTAGCCCAAAAATCGTCAAGACATTTGAAGCGATCAAGGGCAGTTTTGTTGGCCAACTGCCGGGTGTAAACCACATGAGCGCCCAATTCACGGGTACCAAGCAGGACTCGGAAGCCTTGTTCACGGAGAGACTTTCTTCCATCAGCATGCGAACACCAGGCAAAGCTCTTTTTGGCATCAAGCTGCACACGGAGCATGGCGGCAAAACGGTCAATGGCATCAGTGGCTTGTCGCATGTGGTCAACATTGTGAAGCAACACAGCCCAGTTGTCGACGTACGACACCGGTTTGAAGAGGGTGTTGCAAGCCAGCATCCATTTGTGGAACAACTGCGTGAGAAGCAGCATAGCAACACATGACATGGCACAACCCTCGGGGAACCCATTCAAGGAAGCAACCCCAGGAGAGTACGACCCTCGGATGACAAAGTGCCGCACAAATCCACTGAGCGCTCCAGCCCACGGAACCAACGTTTGGTGGTCAAGCCCAAGGAGCTTCGCTGCGACAAATACCGGGCGTCTGGGCAACACATTGAAGGCTTTAACAATGTCTGCTGAGTATCCACAGACCGGAATTTGGTCCCGGTGGGCAGCCTCCACCTGCTCCAGCACATGCCGCCAAACCATGCCTGCCCGGCAGCCCACGACATTGCCGCACAAGAAGGGGTCAACAGTTTGGGAGAGCTGAGCCAACCAATGTCGGGCCGAAATGGAACTCCAAGTACGGTACCAAAGCGAAAACACCGTTATGGGGCGGTAATGACCGACCGTCAGCGGGTCATCATTTTTGGCCAATGACCGCACATAGCCGTTGAGAACTTGTTGAGGCCACACCCCAGTGTGACCAGCACAGGCAAACGTACGCATCAGCAACTGAAGGTCGGAGTCGGACAACGCAAGCAAGTCAGCACGTGCGACACCATCCAAACCAGTGGCTGCTTTGGAAGATTTGCGTCGGAGACACCGACGGACAGAATTGACCGACAACACCGGGCTAGACGGTGGCAAAGGACGCAACTGGGTGGCCGCAAACTGGACAATGTCATCCCACTGTGACGCTGGGACGTCAGAATGCTTGTTCCAAAGAGCTGTCCAATGAGACTCAAACGCAGCAAACAAGTCAGGGAGTGACGTGGTGAAGGACGTTTGCGAGACACTATCACCAATCTCAACATTGGCACAGGAGTCCACCCACACTTTGTCTCCTTCGGCATGAATGATGGAAACAGGACCAGCACGGTGGGCAAGGGGAACTTCAGGGTCCCATGCGACTTCTCGGTCGGTGACAAGAGCACACTCTTCCATATCGACTTCGAGGACCTCAGCAGTTTCGACGCCAACCAGAGAGTCAACCTGGACAGGGATATCCCTTTGCACAGTCCGATACATAGCATGGACATCCGAAGCTTTGGAAAGCCGATTGGCATGGGACCGAGCAGAACGCAGGGATGATTCAAGGTGGGTGAAGTCCAACTCAAGTCCAGCATACAAAATCCAGGCCAGCGACTGATCAGGCGGCTCGATCGGGACGCAACCAGGTTCGCCAAGAGCAAGGGAACGTTGGGACCACCAGTCAGAAAACTACGGCGCAAAACCAGGGGCACGGAGGATTGAAGTCCAAAGTCCAAACTGATGGGCACGGTGGGCAACAGAGGAAATTCCAGACCGGGCCAACCTGACGTACGACTGCAAACGTCGGAGTTGTTTGAGCCATTGTGCATGTTGAACGCAGGTTCCAAGGAAGGCAGGTTGACGGTCCCCAGGCCGGCTTGTCTTCGTAGGAGGGAGTTGGCGGTCGCGACACTGTGGTTTCCGCTGCTTCCCACGCCCCATGGAAGCACGGACGACAGGCTTTTGTTGTTGCAACCTGGCAAAATTGTTTCGGGATTCGACCTCGTGCCAGAAAGTCTCATAGTCAGAGTCCAAATTGCAACCTGGCGCAAACAAGTTCTGAGAGGCAGGGAGCCGGCATGAGGCAGCAGACCAGTCCATAGGGTCAGGGATGGGCCAAACAAAGCGTTCCAAGCAGTCATGTGAGCCAGAGAAAGTGCCAATCAGGTAGGAGTGATCAGACAAAGATTCATCATCAACCTTGCAGGACTGGAACAAAGGGACCATTTCACGGGAGACTAACAGGAAGTCACGGCGAGTCTTCCCCCGGCACGTGGCCACTGGGTGCAGGCCTGTGCGTTCGGCATGAAGGTCTTGCACATCACGAAAGCCAAGCCGCTCCATTGTCGTGACAGTGCTCAATCGATCCAAGTCATGATTGAAATCCCCAGCTATGAAGCGTGGCCCAGTGAGTTGCAAGGCTCGTTCAAGAGCCAATCCAAGAAGCTCGTCAGTAACCGCACGCCCGTTGACGTGAGTTGGGCCAGTAGGAGGGCCATACACAGTAACACCAGAAACCCAAATCCCTTTGGCACAGAACCCAGAACAGAGGAGACGACCCGAATGAAAAGCAACATCAGGCCATGAGTGGGGCAACCGCCGGGAAGGAAACTTCGAC